AGTGCGCGTTCCTAGCCACAGCTCGGAATATACCCAAGTGCTCCCCAGGAGGTTTAGGAGGCGACGTGTTCGCAGTGACGCGTTCGAAGTCCAAGCAGGACAAGGCCACAGAGGAGCCGGTCCCGGGAAACGGAGCCAATGACTCCGGGATCAACAAGTCGGGAACCGACGGTCCCGGAACCAATGACCCCGGGACCAACGAGTCGGGAGCCGACTGTCCAGGAACCAACAGGTCGGGAACCGACGGTCTTGAGGACGAGCCGACAGCCGCTTCCCGAAGCCCAGACCGTCAAGACCCCGAAGAAGACCCCGAAGATGTCCGCACGGAACGATGGAGAAGGATTTGCTCTCACCAGGCACACGACCTGGGGTTAGCACCTTTGGTAAAGTTCCTCCGGGGTGAGACTGAGCACTTGTCCCTGAACCAAACGACACACTTGGCCAAGATAGCAGACCAGTTTGTATTGGACTCCCGGGATGCCTTGTTCTATGTGAGCCGGAGCACCCCGGAACGTCCCCGAGACGCAGCAGACCGCCTCCGCCTGGTAGTCCCCCAGGACCTCCAGGAGGACATCCTGCACCACTGTCACGCGGACTTCCAAGGCGCTCATCAGGGGATCATCCGGACCTATGAGAGGCTGCGCAAGGAGTTCTACTGGATCGGCATGTTCAAGGACACCGAGCGATATGTCAAAGAATGCGTTGACTGCGTCACGGCCAAGGGACTACCCCGGAACCCGGGACCGTCGCCCGGTAACCTGTTGGCCACGCGACTGTTTCAGGTCGTCTCCATGGACTTCGTGATACCGCTGCCCCGGTCCGTTCGGGGAAACATGGCATTGCTCCTGTTTCAGTGCGCGTTCTCGGGGTTCATCATGTGCATGGCCATGGCGAGCACCGAATCCCAAGACGTGTCCAAAGCCTATGAAGAGTGCATGTTCTGAAGATTCGGGGCCAGTGAGATGATCCGTCACGACCGAGACCCGCGCTTCATGGGTCGGGTGTTCAAGCACTTTCGGGAGATGCTCGGGAGCAGGCAACGCGCCACTCTAGCCTATCGTCCCCAGGCCAACGGACAACAAGATAGGTCTGTGCAAACAGTGATCTGGAGCGTTAAGGCGTACGTGCAGACTGTGGACCAATACGACTGGGATGAGCTAGCCGAAAAACTCATGTGGGCACTGAACACCTCCTTCGACGTCACCCGACTCGACACGCCGTTTTACCTGGTGCACGGTTGGGACGCCCAAGGTACCGTCGAAGCCATGGTGGGAGACGTTTCCCGAGACGTGCAGCTCCGGGACGCCCAGGAATGGCGCATCAAGGTGCAACGCCAGGTGGAATACGCGAGGACCTGGGCCCGGGACCTCCAAGAAAAAGCCAAGAAGCGCCGGGCCGAGGACCATAACCGCAAGTGGAAGCAGCTTACAGACCGACTGAAAGAGGGTTTCGAGGTCGGGGACTCAGTACGGCTGTACCTAGCCCGAGTCCGTCCCGGACCCACCAAGAAGCTCGCACATCTCTGGCACGGCCCGTTCCGGGTCCGGGAAAAAAGGTAGTGATTTCCGATACCGCCTCCAGGTCGAGGGTACGGAATACCAGTTTCACCCCTGGGTCCACGTTAGCAGGTTGAAGCCTAGAGCCAAGTACCCGGTGCGGCCCTCGGGAACCATAGACATCCTCGAGGACGACGACTTGGACGCTGCGTTGCCGTGAAGATAGTTGGGAACCTGATGAGGGTTCCGGGGAATACGAGGTCGAAGCGATACTCGACGTGCGCTGGGTCACCCGGACCCGCACCAGCAGGCGTGGAGTATAATAGAAAGGCTATGATGCTCCAGATTGGATTCCTCAAGGACGCCTCAACTGCGGGAGGCTGCTCTACGAGTTTGACCAAGGAGAGCGAGCTCGCGTGCGTTTCCAAGCCATGCAGTCTGGAGACGAGCTCCCGGACGAAAAAAGAAGTCCGGTAGAGCCCTGGGGCGTGGACCCGGAGCCTACTACAGTAGTGGGCCCTGGAGTGTCCCCTAGAGACCCCATGTTCCCGGGTGAGAATACTCCCCAGAACATGGGTGAAGTGCATGTTTCCTGGGGCGTGGACCCGGGGCCCACTGCCAAAGTGCGCCCTGGCGTGTCCCCCAGAAGCCTTGTGTTCCAAGACGAGAATACTCTCTGGGACACAAGTGATTGCATATTTGCATGACACATACATGTTACCAAAAGAAGGACATGCAGACTTGAAGACGAACAGACAAGACCAAGACGAAAACAAACTCCAAGATGTATTGAAGAGCTTAAGGCCTCAGGGTATCCACGAACTCTGCAGGCAAGTCATCAGGAAGAGGAATGAAGATGCGGTCGTCAGGGTCGGCGACGACAGTCCCCCAAGTGGTCGGGGACACGCTTTCTGGGAGACGCAAGGTCGAACCCGGAAGCCCCAGTAGACGCGAGCTGGGTCGCGGCGGTCCAGTGCCCGAAGCTGATCACGGAGAGGTGGGTGTGGTCGCCACGTGGCAGTGGGACCCACGCGACCGGGAGTCTGGGACGGCGCCAGAGCCCAGGCTCGCCACGAAACCACTTCCGCTCCCGCGCCGGTAGCAGGGCTACCTTAACCTCAACTTCGTCAGCGCCTTGTACCAGAGCCTCTGGCGAGAGGCACGGTCCAGATGCACTTGTTCCTGCGCTTCACTGGAACGGTCGAACACCACCCAGTGGCCGCGCTCCCACTGAGCCCGGCGATGAACGAACATGAGTAATACATACTCCGAGGCGAGGATCAGTAAGTCGTCACTGAAGCCCGAGGGGCATTCCTCATAGACCTCCTTGCAGGCAAACCAGAACACCTCTTCTCGGTTCCGGAACATCGTGTCCTAGGGAGCGTCTTCCCCAGGCCCGGAACCATCCACCAAGTCCAAGTAATCGATTATGTCCAGGCGACCCTTCGCCTCCGCCGACGAGGTGGGTACGACCTCGTAGTCCGGGAACCCACGTATCTGGTGTTTCCCAGACTGACTCGCCGGATGCACTTGAACTCCGTTGACAAACCAAGAGATGGCGTCCGCAGTGTCGGTGTGGCAGAAATCGGGAGCGGCGTTCCGAGGGAGTGACAGCCGGCGCCGACGCACTGGAGAATCAAGCTCATCCGATGAGACGTCAGACGACACTTCGGGGAGCCGAGCCATACGACGCGCCGCGTCTGGAGTGTCCTGACCCTGGGACCCCGAACACCGAGGCCTCTTGCCGCGCGGAGAAGTTGTGGGAGCTGAGCCCCCCCCGAGGCCCTTTTCTTGGAACGACCTTTCTTGGGGGTGATCGGAGCTTCGTCCTCCATGTCGGAGATGACATCGTCACCATCCGACGGTTCCGAAGCCTCGTGAGGCTCCGTAGGAACAGGCGGCCAGGGGCGATCTACCCCGACCACCCAACCCGTCTCCTCTGTGCCCTTGTAAGCCCGGTCGAAATACTCCTCGGGGACATGCTTCAGCCAGTCGACGTCGTCCAGGCTTCGAAGGCACAAGAGCCGCCGGATGATTTCACTGAGTACGTCGCGACGGAGATTCGCGTGAACCACGATGTCCTCGGCCGTCGCCCCCAGAACCACATCTTCCGCCCCCGTGAGCGTGCACCCGTCTGAGTCCATACGCCAGAGCTCGAGGACGTCGAGACGTACGTCCGAGAGGTCAGCGTCGGCCAGTAGCAGCTTGCTCAAGTCATCGTCCGAGCGAGGAGGCTCGGCGTCTTCATCCATGGCCCGGTAGAAGAGAGCCTTCGGGTTGGTTTGGAGAGTGTACACCCGGGGTCGAACCTGCCGCTGGCCATCGGCCGACAAACGCAGAGGAGACTGAGTCCCATCTCCAGGCAGAAATTCCACGTCATCATCGTCGTCCCCATCCCCGGCGTCCTCCTCTTGCGGGTCGTCCACATCGTCGTCCCCGTCGCCCATCTCATAGTCGTCCTTCGGTAGACCCTCGGGGACATCACTCTCGTAGTCTGGAAGTTCCGTGAAGCGGATGTGTTTTGGGGTCTTGTGACCCCCCGGATAGAGGTGACTTGGCGCTAGCGGAGGTCCCCGGACCGATATCGTCGCCCTTTCCTTGGGGAACGTCAGGACGCAACACTGAATGGGTCGGCGTCGGAGACGAAGCAGACTTGGGCCCTGAGGACCTCTTTGAAGGGAGACTCGCAGCGGGAGACGCGATGGAGGACGCCGTAGAAGCTCCAGAAGCCGCAGGACCGGGAGGCCCAGAAGGTGGCGGAGCCTCCCCTGACCCAGCGTCGCTTGATGCACCAGACAGAGCAGAGCTGGTCCCCGAATTCGTGGATTCCTGGGACGCGGTCCTGGGCACACACCCCTCACCGCCAAGGCTACTTCCACCTGTCGGCCCCGAATCGCCTCCGGACGAAGGCATGGGTATCGCGACTGGAGCGCTGTTCCTCCCCACGAACAGAGAAATCGTGTAGGGGAGCCTGGGGCGACGTTGGAAATACGCCTGTATGTGGCCTGCATGTGCTCTTGGAACGCAGCCCCATCTCCATTAACGCCCATCGAGACGAAGTACGCGACCAGAGCTTGAGAATCAGCCAGGCCTCGGAGGCGGTCGCGATCCTGCTGGAGAATCACGTTGGCCACCTGTAGCGCCTGTAGCGAGTTCCGCAGGCCGGCCACTTCCGCGTCGTGGTCGACCTTGGGAACGGCGTCACTGGGGGGAGCCGGAGGTCGCGCAGCCAATTTGGCCTGAGCCGCATCTCGCTCGGCCTGCGCTACGTCCTGCTCGTCCTGAGCCACATCCCGCTCACTTCGCGCCTCCTGGCTCTCCGCGGTCGCCATGTCGAGGGCGCTCTGGAGCCTCGCCGTCTCCGCGGCAGCCTCGCTTAGGGAGCGCTCTAAGTCGGCGTGAGCCATCCCCAGTCTCTCCAAACGTTCCTCGGTCTGGGACCAACCCTGGTGCTCGTGGTTCAAGGCGATTCGAGTCCGGGCCACTACAGCCCTAAGGGCCACAGTTGTAAGCGCCTCCACTTCGCGTAGCGCCACCTTCCATTCCCGATGGCTCTCCGCCAACTGGTCCTGGGACCGATGTAAGGTCATGGTCAGCAGAGCGTTCGCGGTAGCGCTCCCCGGGTCCGCGGTCATAGCGAGGTTTTGGAGAGGCTCCAGGGTCACGATGTGATCCAGGGCGAGGCGAAGCGCGTTTAACGTGTTCAGCACGCGACGCCCGAAACTTGCTGCCCCGAACGCATCGATCAGCGGACCTGCATGAAGCTCCGCGGCCTGGGCGCGTTGTCCTGGGACCACCGCCACTGGGGCTCTTGGAGATGCGCTGGGGACAGAATATCTGTGACAGCGCGGTCGTCCCCGACGACCAGCCGCGAAATGTGTCGAGCTGCACAGCCGAGAGCGACGGGACCCGAACCGCTACGTGCACCACGCCCCGGACGTCGCGCATCTGGAAGCCCTCGGAGTTCCCGGAAGCGACAACCCGCACGGAGATAAATGAACGGCGGAGCGAGCGTCACAGGCCCCAGAGCTGTCGCCAAGTCCACCTCAGCCCCGTCGCCGGTAGGGAGCGAAAACTGGACGGACTGAACTCCGAGGCCATCTTCCACCTGAGGCCCAACATACTGTCGGGAAACGATCTGCACGCCCGAGCAGTAGATCCCCGAAGTCAGCG